CCGGCGCCGCGGCTGCGGGCTCTCCCGCCCGTGGGCGGCAGGGAAAGGGCGAGCTCCCTCGTGGGAGACCCGAGAGTTCACGCGTGCCCGTTCCTTTCCTGGGTCTCCCAGGCGAAGTCCCGAAACGCTTTCGGTGGAGGCCAGGTGACGGTCGGGTCTGCACAGTGCTGCCTCGGCGGAGTTAGCGGAGGGCGAGGGTGCGAGCGCCCTTCGGGGGATAACGGGGGTCTTGCTGTGGGCTTTTTAACTTGCGAGGCCTATGCAGCTCTTCTCGGGAGGCGGGAAAAGAAAAAAACAACCGCCCAACAAAATCCCCCCAGCAACTAGTGGCTTCAGCCCACAGAAAGGACGGGGAAGGGACGTGTCCGGAGATAGGGTGGGTATCTCTTGCCAGCCGGCTGCAGCAGGGAGGAGCAGGCTCGCAAAGGGAGATAAATGTCCTTCAGGCCTTTGTTCTGAGCTAATCTTGTTCGTTCTGGTAGCACGTTCTAGGAAGAATTCTGGACTTTCAAGAAGGTGCTGTGCACGTGTACTACCTCTTTTTTGGACCTGAGGCTCTTGTGGCACTTCACAGAGGGAAGCAGCTACTTATGCACACTTTGTATGTAAGGGAAACTACAGTCCTGAGAGTAAAGTTAATTGCCCCAGGGTACACAGCTCATCAGTGGGAGAGAAGCTGAAGCTCGCCTGCGGTTGCTTGAGTGTGCTGCTGCTTGCATGTGTGGAATGATCCTCTGCTAGTGTAATTCTGTTTTTATTTTACTTGTTTCTGCTGTCCTTATGGAAGGGAACGTTCTTCCTGCACTTTATTGCTTTAAGATCTGTTGCTTGCTGTGCGTGTAGACCTAAGCTGTTACTTTTATTTTTGTCTGTAGAACCTCTAAGTAGAGCTCTGATCTTGCAGAAGATAAGTAGCTCATATTTACCAGTAACTATAGATTTTTCCAGCAGCACGGTGAAATCCTACTGGCTTCTCCCAAAAGTTGCAGTATTGGTAACATGCGTACTCTTAGAAAAAGCAGAGGGTGCCCAGCATGCGATATGACTTGTTCTTTTGTCACCGAGCAACAGGGGGATGGTTTTTGCTTACCTTTCTGCCCGCTTGCCGACGAGCGGGCATCTTTCAGCAGTCGCAACCTGCAGAGGTGAAACCAATTGGCTCAACGTTAGGTAGGTAAATGAGTAAGGGCACCGAGGCGGTATAGAGAAGTGGAATTTCTGACTGGGGGACAGCTAGCGACCTTAATAACACAGCTGGAAGTAGAGCGTGTGAATCCTGACGCGCAGTCTTCTGCTCTAGTCGCTCTTCCTAACTCGATAAATGCTTTGCTTTGCCTTGTCAGCGCTTGGATCGCAACGGTGCTGGACAAGGGGAGACATTATTCAGCCACTTAGCTGACAAAACCAATTCTCTGGTGAAATGCTCTGGTCACGATAGGAGTTCACATGGTTCAAGGAGTTTGTACGTACGAGCGATTTTACTTGCGGCTACTTACTTCTAACGCTTTCGATTTAGAGAATGTAGCAGTCACGCGTGCCTGACCATCGAAGAATGGCAAGGTGTATGGAAAGCTACTGTATGGATGATGTGCTCTTTGTATGGGGCTTTGCTTTCTGCTTCGTTGCAGCTGGCCCGGATTCAGACTGACAGCATAGTCAAGATGCTCCGTGAGCTATACCCCGACCTCCGCTTTGAGATTGGTAAGTTGTTTTTGGATGCTGCCCTAGGGTAGATGGCAGCGGGAGCTAGCCGCTTATCTTTGCGTGCAAGAGTTGTGTGTAGAGCGCTGTCATGAGCAGGAGGATTCGACCCCGCTTATCTAAGAGTGCTGTCTGAATTCAGTTAGGCTGTGTGGCTGGCTGAGCAACTGCTGCTGGTTTCTTCTAGGAGAGAAAGGCGGATTTCACAAGCTCCTGATGATTGAAGTTCTGAGTATGTCATGCAGACGGTGTTACGTTTCTCCATTTGAGAACCTGGTGTCACCCGGGCTGCACCCCGCTATGCATTAGGGACGTTTTCGTGTCCGGGGCTTGAGGCGTTCAACAGTGCAGGAATAATGGGCGCCCAGCCTTGCACTGAAGAGAACTGCTGAGTACCTGTTTACTGGCGCTCCAAAGAAAGACCGTGGCGATTTCCGTTGGGTCAGCTCTTCCCAAAACCTGCCCTCTTTCCCCTCGCTCTGTTTTTGAGGACAGTGAAGGAAGCCTCAGTTTCACTTGCCTTGAGCACAGTGTATTTCTAGAAGTGAGCTGCTCTTATATTTATCTCGAATCTGTGTTCATGCAGTAGTCTGTGATGCTGTACTGCTCATTACATGCTACGTTGATATTTCCAGTCTAGGCCTACGTGCTCTGACCAAGCCTCACGTTTTACTTGTGCTCTCTCTCTGAGCAGTTGCCATGTCCACGACTGGAGACAAGATCTTGGATACAGCACTTTCCAAGGTAAAGGTTCTCTTCTTCCTCTGCACAAGAAGCGATTGTGTTTGATGATGTATTTGCAGATTTTTCTTTTGTGATTCATGTTTCTCCATTTACGCGTAGATCGGGGAGAAGAGCCTCTTTACCAAAGAGCTGGAAAATGCACTTGAAAGAAATGAGTAAGAGCTCGTTGTTTTCTCTTCTGCCTCTGCAATTTGTGGCGCTCTTTGGACATCTTTGGCTTGCTGCGTATGTGATCTAGTTTCCTTCTGTTCTGGTACCTCTCTGGCTAAGAAATCCTTTGATAAGTCATTGTCTTTTTCTCCCCGCCCTTTTCCCCCCGGGCTTAGGACACACATTTTGAAGCGGAGTTGTTGCGACACTTGGTCTGCTCTAATTAGGTTTTTTACTCCTGTGATTTGTGTTTTACACGTGCGTCAGAGAGGATGTAATCTAATCTAATTCCTGCTTACGAGTACGTTCTTTTAAAAATGCTTTGCTTGGTGGTGTTAACATATTGCATAACGTATTTAACATTTATTAACCTATTTGCATGCTAAATATGCAGGAGAATTGGGCATAGGCTGCAAGTTGTGCTGCTTTCTGTGTAACTTCTTTCTACAGAAAAACTGGGTTCAGGCTCCTGCTGGAGCAGAGAGAGATTAGCACTTCTTTTTTTTTTTTTTTTTTTTTTTTTTTTTTCCCCCTTTTTTTTTTTTTTTTTTTTTTCTTCCCCCTCTTTTTTACTTTTTCAGTATCCTGAGGAGGGTTTCAGTGGTGCTTATGCCTTAGTTAAAGTGGGTTTAAAAACAAAGATATTCTTCTGCATCTCTGACACGTAGGCACACGATGCTGCATTTTCAAGTAAAGTCAGTGAAAAAATACTGGAGACTTAAGCATTTGCAGTGATGTTTGCTGGCCTTGTAACGAAGTAGATAGCGTTCACTTTGGCTAGCTATTATTTTCAGTTTGAAACGTAGTATCAGACAACGTACTGGTTGCATATTGGTACGATGAGTCTCTCTGTGGGAACGTCTCCAGCGTTTTCCCCTCATTCAGCCTGATTGTTGCGATGCGTCTTGCATCGTTGCTGGGAGGAAGGCGTTGTCTTAATTTTACAAGTGGGAAAAGAGAGACAGAGGAAGGTGAAGTCGCTTTTCTGGAGCAACACTGGAATTCTATAGTAATTCTGGCTATAGAATCCTGAAATTCCTCCCTCTTCTCCAAATGAATTCCCAGGGTGGATTCACACTTTTCTGTAGATGACCTGCAGGCCTCTGGTAGGTACCGACTGTTCAGTGATTACTGTCCTCTAATTTTTAGAGTTGACCTTGTGGTTCACTCCTTGAAGGACCTGCCGACTTCTCTTCCTCCTGGCTTTACCATTGGTGCTGTCTGCAAGTAAGTGTGGGCACAAGGCTTGATTCTCTGAGGGACTTGCATTTCACAGTGGTGGTGGTAGGAAAGCAAAGGCAGCTTAGGTCTTTTTAGGCATTCAAAGTTTGACCACCCTCCGATTAATCTCTGAAACAGTGGAAACGCTAGAGCTGTCCTAGTGTTTGTAGCCAGCAGGTTTGCTGGAAATTCTTGCTTTTGCAATGATGATGGGGTATTTTGGAGCCAGAGGCAGTTCCTCTAGGGACTGATAGCAGAACTGTTAAGCTTAACAGCCTTCCGTTAAATGATGTGTCAGCTATTCTGCGCTTGCGTTATTTTGCAGAAGGGAAAACCCACTTGATGCTGTTGTCTTTCATCCTAAAAACCGTGGGAAAACACTGAGCCTCCTTCCTGAAAAGAGGTGAGTGAGGAGAGGCAGGGGAAGACAGTCAGGTGTAAAAACACAAGGGAGGAGTTGGTTGATACTTCCCAGCGGCAAGTCAATGAGCTCCTTGCTTTATCCTGTAGTGGTTTTATGCTGCCTTCTGTTGGCTTTCCATAGACGTGACACCGAACCCACTTGCTGAAAAGAGCAACGCTATCTCACAGGAGTGCTGCACGCTGACTGAGGTTGGATCTCTCGAGCCACCCTTGAGT